TGCTTTTAATTGACTTGCCTTACAATTTGCCCCAAGTTTTGAGAAAAAAAAAAAAAAAAAAAACACACACACTGAAATGAGCTTCCTTGGGCAAAGCCAATTCATAAAATCAGCAAGAGCAGAAGTTCATCATGACCAAGTGAGGTAGGTGCCATGGGCCAAGCTCCAGCAGTGGTTTTGCTAGTTGATGGACAGATCAGATTTAGTGCAATGAGGTCCTGGCTCCAGGTTCAAACCAGAAAGACCATTTTTGGCCTTTCAAACCTTGCTGAGGCCCAAAGAGCACTAGTATTTGTTTCCCCACAGGTGGGGGCCCACCTGTGCTCAGGAGAGCTTGAGGACCCAGCACTACCTCCCTGCACCTGCAGCCATCAGTGTCACTAAGGGTTTCACCAGGAACTTCAGTAGCGCACGGATCAAGCTGCATAAACCCATTTAAGAAACCTTCAGCTCATCCATATTAGATGTAGTAAGCAAGAGCAGAAGAAAGGGATCAAGTCACCCAGATTTTTTCTTATTCCATCTATATTTAATGAATGAAAAATATTGCATTTTAAAACATGCACCTGTATCATGGATTTCCACAAAACTGATGTGAAATACTATATTCAGCAGCTTAGCGTATGCATTTTAAAGGAAAAGTTGCACTTGTAGTAAAACTTCATTACTTTTTTTTTAAATCTACTGCACTGAAATTCCTCAAGTATTCAGCTCACACTGAATCAGATATTAAAACTTGCCCATTTACTGTTTTATTTCAAAAAATTACCTGAATATGATTTCAAAGCATTACCTGAGTCGGAGTAAGAATTGAGATACTAAGGGGAAAATAGGGGAGATTTAATTTTTTTTTTTGAAAGAACTAAAGTATTTTATTAAGAGGAAAACCAAAGACTAGCATTTGTCAGAAAAGTGTTGTTTATCAAAACTTACTATTCCTCAGAGATATGTAACCAGACCAGACATTTCCAATTTACAACAAAAGCACATCTTCTACAAAACACATTACATGGGACAGGGGGCAGAAACAAGAACAACAAGAAAAAAAAGGTAAAAAGAAAACCTCATAACTTCTCAGAACTACTGCTGAAAATAATCAAACCATGACAGTTCACAAAGAAATAAAAAGCTGTATGCATTATTACTATCCCCTTTTTTAATGCACTCAGTTGGAGAACTATTATAAATGTTTAGCTGAAACAGTACTTCATCCCTACAATGAAAATATCTGCCCACTTTTAACAGAGGCACAGAGGAAATCATATTGCATTAGGTCAGATTGAAGCTGAAAATACAAGTTATAAAGATATATGCTACAAAAGTGTACAGAAGGCAAGTGGGTTTTTTTTTGTTTTGTTTGTTTTTTTCCTAAGCACAAATGATAACTGTACAAGTTTAAGTGTTGAGACAAGTTTTGGTCTCAGATTTACATTTACACCCAGCTAACTTCAGTGACATGATTCACATGTTACTGAGAATAGAATTTGGTGTTGTAGCTTTGAAACAACACAGTATCATAAAATATTATACACTGTCATGCACTTTCACGTTAATTTAGATTACATTAGAAAAGGGAAGATAGTTTCTCTTGTTTTAATGAACAACAGAATGACAAAGTAATTCAGTTGTAGATCAGTTCAAATACCCAGCATAAAGAAACAAAAAGGAGCTTCCTTTTTTTTTTTATTTAAACAAATGTGGGTAAGTAGAATGTGGCATGCTGGCTTGTAACTGTCTCCATGGCTATTGCAGGGATCTTTTCAAATAGAGATTTAAAAATAACCAAAAAAAACAATACAAGTCACTCTGGGCTTTTCCCCCAGATGCCAATCTTGTACTCAAGTGCAGAGATGCACACGTATCTTTAGAGAGGCCCAGGCAGATCTGTAATTTAGTGCCAAGAACACGTTTGGCTCCAGGAATAACTCCCATAAACAAGTCCAACACTAGGGCTAAGGAGAGCCCAGAGTGCTCTAGCTACATTTCCTCATCTCCTTGACTAGAGTTATTATTCTTATATCTACTCAGGGAAGTACCCCAACTAATTTTTTTTAGCTCAATTTTGCCATTTTTAGTGAAGTTTGGGCCTTCTGGTAGGACCAAGATGACTGTGGTATAAATATGCTTTGTACCAAATCCCTGGAGCCAAGCATGTAATAAATTTGTGGAAAACTGAAGGAAAACACAAAGTTTATCCTTAGATCTGTATTACTGTATTTTTAAATTTATATTTAAATACTTCAAATTTAAATGATTGATTTTAAAATGCCAAAGACAGTCAAATCAGCTGTGTCATTTCTGCAGTTACTTCCTAAGGGAAATGTTCAGAGGATTTTAGTTAAGTGACAGCCATTTAAGCTAGATTTGAGAGAAGCAAAATATTTTTCACTCCCTACCTGAAGGGAGAATAATTAAATAACTTTCAATACCACTCATACTTTTTGTAATTTTAGTCTCTGAGCAAATGCTGTCTTCATTCATTTTCTTCATCATCTCTGTCCCCTTCTCAGTTAATTTTGTAGGGACTCAGAGCCTAGAAGCCCTCATTCATTAAGACTCCCAGGACAATATGTTGATTTCAAAGGCAGTTACAGGCAATCAGCAACTGAGAAATTCAACACAGGGCTGGGGAAGAAGGCAACCAGAATGTGCAGATTTTTCTCATTACCTCCAAGCATTAATCCTCTTGGTTTGGAGCCCAGGAATCATTTTTCCCAACTTCCATGCACTTAGGACAAGGCCTTCAGAATTATAAGTAACATGGATCGGCAAGTGTTATGTTATTGTAATTTTGGGCAGATTCTGCACAGAAATTCCATTGACAGAGGCAGAAATTGAGGATATTTGGCAACAAGTGGGATCAGATCCATTGGGCCTCAGTCCTAGGCACCACCTACACTCCTAAGGAGTAAATACCAACAGAAGCTGCAAGTGCTCTGCATCATTCATGCTGCACAACTGATCCAATTTGCAGGAGAACTGAGAAAGCCCTGGATCACCCTTTGTTTAAACACTGCTCACAATATTCCTAAAATACATAAAATTAAAAAAAAATGATTAAATGAAACTCAAAACAAAAAAGCCACGTTGAACGAACAGAACAAGAGGCCCCACAGCGGTGAGAAGCACATGCTTAAGTGCTGGCTGATGCACGTGATGGCAAATGTTAAAATGGTGTAAAACAAGATGAATACGAAGCAGTTTCATGCAGTTAGCACTTGTTCACCTGACTGCCCAACAGAATCAGCAGTGGAGAGAGCACTAGTGGACCTGGAATGACGTCGAGAAGCTGCAAGTAAAAGGAATGGCAACACCCACAGGATTAACACACATTTAACCCGAGACAGAAAATGCCACAGTCCAAAGGGGATGCACATGACCACTATCAGTGTTTTATACGTGTTTTATCATGGCAGGGGAATGACGTTGTATATGAAAGCGTAACAGATACAGTGCAAGCCCCACAGTGACATCTCCATCCACAGCTTCCCCGCTTGCCCTCGCCCATAAACACGTTGCATGACAAAACTCAGTCGTAACCGTCCCGAACTTGGTGCAGTTCGGCATAATAAACAAATAAAATAAATCAGTGCATGTCAGTCACGTTCCAGAGCCACAGATCTGGAAGACGGACATCGTGAGAACATGGAGCACGCAAATGCAGGATTTAGATGTGTCCGATCTAAACCCCAAAGTGAAGCCAAGATGAATGCTTAGAAATTGTGCTTGCAAGTACTTTTCACAACATTCTAGCCTATGTACAAAAAGAAGTTACCAAAGAGAATGAGTTACCACAAAGGTGGAAAGAGCACAAGGAGTCATACAGGGAGGTCAGCCCACCACTCCATATAGGGGGTCTTTTGAAATATATGAAAATATATATATATATATATTTTAAAAAAGCTTAAAAAACACACACATAATCATTTCTGTTGCTACCAAAAGTCTCTTGCTTTAAAAAATACTGCATACATGTTTCTGTAAGCTAAAAATATACATATATACGCACACAGATATTAATCTGAATATGCACATACATACATGTATACAGAATTACACCACTTGCTCACAAACACAAACTGTTAGTAGTAACAGAGCATACAGATGTGTAGAAGAGCTGAAGCCAACTTTACTTCCCACTTCAACTCCAAATTTTCAGCAG